AGAAAGGTGAGCCGTATGATAGTGGGAATGTTGAGAGAGGGGAGGTTAAAATACTGCTTTCTGCAATGTTTTCTTGGAGACATAAGACTCATATTGAAATCCCATTTTCTTCCCTATGATTCATCCAACAGTGCTCAGGCATGTCTGCTCTTCTAGAACTCCACTGTCCTTGAAAATTCTGCTGTGGTTAAATTAAGTCTTGCTTCTGGGTACTGGCTGACTGGATCTTTGAATTTTCCAATGACTTTACCTGATTTTTGTCTTTTGTAGGAAAAATGGACAAAAAATTGTTTATATGGTTCCTGAATGACTTTCTGGAGGATGCTGTCCTTTCTCCAGTACAGATAAGGAAGAGATCTTCCTTGTGGTACTTATCTTCCAGAACTGGGCAGGAGGATTCAGCTCCTGGCCTTGTGAGGGCCTCATTCCTGTAAGCTTTTCCTTCTGGATTCTAGCTTTGGGTCTCTGATAATCTCTTTCATCAGGCCCATTAACCATCTTGCTCTACCATGAGTCCTGGAAGCTGGATGTCTTGGCATCCTGTTGCTTCTTCATGAATCCTCTTCTTGGCTCTGCAGAGCTTAACTCATAGGAAGTGGGTGGAAGGCAGCATGTATGCTGCAAGCAGCACCTTGGGGACACACAGTCTTCATGGAATGTGTTAGCATCACATCCTGTATGATATGATCAAAAGCTGGACTCTCACTTGTACTGCTTGACTATTCCTGTTCTTTCAGGCAGGATGCTTGGAAATAGAAATTATGGACGGGAATGGTGTTTGAGTGGTCTTCAGAAGTTCTAAACTCCTAAGATACAAATTATTGGAATTCCTGTGGACTGGCAAGATAATGGGCAGGATCTCTTCACCCTCTGCCATTTCCCTGAGATCTTTTACTCTTTTAGATGTGGATTCAACAAAGATCATTCCTACTGACATACTGTGGCAGAGGCTTTTTTATGTATGCCCATTACTGGATTTGTAGATGGTTCTAGACTACTTTCCTCTGAACATAGGACAATTTCATCATGTTGCTAGTTTCTTCCTACAAGGCTATTCAATCTGGACTCAGTAAACATCCACCTTCCCCTCTCCAGTTGGATAGAACTCTGAAGGAACACAGTTGTGAACATAGAGTTCATTCCTCTCAGGGTTTCATGTGATGAGGGTCGTTGAGAATGCAGTGTGGCATGACCTTCAATTTTTCTGTCCCTTTATTTTTTGGTATTTTGTAAAGAGTTTCTTCCTGGAACAGGACCCACATGACTGTGGGATTGGTCTTTAATTCTCTACATGTCAGGTTCAGAGATGCTCCCTGTGAAATTGGGGAACTTTTTACAGAGTAAGGTGATTTGAGAATCTTTATGCACAAGCCCTATTAGTGCTTCAGCCAAAGGTTTTTAATATGAGCTTCCTGTAGCTGTCAAGGGGCAGCATCAAAGTGGGAAACTTCCGTGGAGGAGCTCTTGTAGATTTCTCTAGTTTCTAAGTGTGGATCTCTGACAGTTTCCATGCTAGATTGGAGTGTTTTGCTGGGGCAGAGGGGGCCAGCCCCAAGGCCTGGTCTGTCATGTCCCTGAAATGGCTAATGTGCATAGGGAATTTGTCCCTACTGATATGCTCCCATATTGTTATGAGACCTGATTTCATGTTATTTTTCTAAGCATTTTTTGTTTTAATGATTCAGAGAATTGTATTCTGAACCCTGACTTGATGGTCCATTCAAATCACTTTCTAAATCTCTCTGTTTTGACATCTAGAAAATTCACCAAGGAGATGTCTGTCTCCTTATGCAGATCTCTCACTATCCTGCTCTTACAATTTACCTGGTCTTTTTGGAGTTCTCTCATTCTTGAAATACTTCTGAGTACTCTGAAGTTGCATTCTGTATATTCTGGCAAAT